TGACAAGAAAAAAGAGAAAACAAATTGAAAAGATGAAATAAGAAAAATTAACTAGTTATTTAATTTATATGTCAATAAATCAAAGAAGTTAATTGAAAATAGAAAAAGAAAAAAAAGAATAAAAAGCTTACGACACTCGGTATTCCCAGGCGGTCACCCATCCAAGTACTAACCGAGCCCGACGTTGCTTAACTTCAGTGATCGGACGAGAACTGGTGTATTCAACGTGGTATGGCCGTAGGCGAAGATAGCTCATGAAGAACAGGTAAAAAGGAAGAAGACAGAACGAAAAATGAGTACTATGTTGATTTAACTTCATTTTTCTTTTATTTTGTATTTACTCAGTAAATACCAACTTAGAAAGAAACACTTTATCGATAAGAAACATTAAAGAATTCTTTAAAACTCATTTGGACAACGATGTTATTTTTTAGAGTTTTTCTTTTTAGAAAAATATTTCAAAATTAACTACCAGTATAACATTCAAAAATGAATGATCTAGCATCATTAAGAACATTACGAAGTCAATGCGCTTATAAAGAAGATGTTGATGTTCGAAGAGGAGAAAAAATAACTGGTGGAAATGGTAAAGCACTTTATAGAGCAGAATTTATTACTACAGATGTTATTAAAAGAAAAGATACACCAATTGTTTTACTTGAAATGATAGGAAATGATGCAGTTCTTGAAATTTATCATTATATTACACTTTCTCATCCAAATATTATTGAAACTTATGGTCTTGTTAAACCAAATATTGAAACATTAAATAATCAATCAATTTTACTTTTACAAGAATATGCTAAAGATGGTGATCTTAGTAGATTATTAACTGAACGAATTTTTATTCCATCAAAATCTGTACTTCTTGAAATATTTATTCAAGTAGCCGATGCTATGGTTTATCTTTCGAAAAATAAAATTATACATGGTGATTTAGCATGTAGAAATGTATTAGTTGTAAAATCACATCCAACGAATCCAAAACAGAATTTAGTTAAATTAATTGATTTTGGTTTAACACAAAATGAAACAATACCAGCACATGTAGAGGTTGTATATCCAATACGTTATGCAGCTCCAGAAATTCTACGTAATAATGGTCGATCGGGTTATTCATCAAAATCTGATGTTTATTCATTTGGTGTTCTCATATGGGAAGCTTTTTCTCCTGAGAAAATAATGCCATATGATTTTATTTCAAATGATGATGAAGTTCGACAACGAAAACTTAATGGTGAAAAATTGAAACAACCAAATAATTGTGATTCAGAGATTTGGGCAGTTATGCTTCAGTGTTGGGAAAATAAGCCTGAAGATCGACCCAGTTTCGAAACAATACATTCAAAATTAAAAAATATTCAAAACAAAAATACATCATCACCTCGATTAAACAATAATGTTTCAAGTCTGTTCAATTCTAATTATAATACTGATCAAACTAACACATTGCAATACATAGATGATTCTCAAACACTCAATTATGAAGATAGCTATAAGAATTCACCTAGATTATCATTATCATCTTCTTCTAAGTTAGTTATTTTTTATATATATGATTGAAATATTTGTTAATATAGATCAGATTATGAAGGTGTTTTGCCCTGTGAATTTTGCCAAACACAATATTCTATTCTTGAGCTTGATACTCATCAGGTATTTTATCATAATTTAAAGAAAAAGAATAGAATTAATTGTTATCAATTTATAGATAAACTGTTCGGATAATCCACAAAATTTTAAAAGAAAATCAGGTAAACATGAATACATTTCTAATTTTCTAATTGTATTATGTTATTTTATTTTCACTTTTCTTCTCAGATAGAAATCCTAGTCAATTATCTTTTGAATCAGAACGTCCATGCTCATCAAATTCTAATAAAAATAGACATAGTAAGTAAACATATTAAATTCCTAAATAGAAAAATATTTCTTTCAATTCACCTCTCTTATCGACAGATGATGGTAGATTACATAAATATGATTATACTAATCCCATTTCAAAACAAAGAAATATTGTCTCTGACAAAAAACTTCCTAGTTCAAATACACCTATTCAAAAGAGAGTATCGTACGTATTGAGTAAAAATTCAAACTCCTTTTGATTTTCTCTATGGAATATCTTCTTGATATTTATTAAGACAATCAGATACAGCACCATTGCCATGTGAAATTTGTAATAAATCAATTGATAAATCACAATTTGAAAAACATCAAGTATTTTATATAAATTTATTTGAAAAATTTATCTTTTTTGTCAATTTATTAAGATGCAATGTGCTAAGGATGAAAAAGATCGTATTGAAAAAAAAAGAAGGTTTGTTTGTTATTTGATTTCTTTATCTTTTCTATTGTATATTTATATATATATATAGACAAATTGAAGCAGAAGATAATCCAGAATTTTGTAATGCAAAATATTCAATAGATGAATTCGATAATCATCAGGTATATTTCTTAACATAGAAAACTATGTTTTATTTATTGTATTTGTAAAGAATACTTATTCATTAAATCGATCGAAACCAACATCTGTGATAAATCCAGGGAAACTTGTAAGTAAAAATAATGTATTTAATAATTTATTGTTTTTATTAAATTACTTTTAACAATTTAAAGGATGAAAAACCCAGCAATAACAAAGAAAAGCCGTAAAATAGATAAAATTTATTATTAAAAATAATTTTTATTTTTCTGATTGTTCTAGGTCATGCCTTCGAGATTTCTTCTCACGTTTGTTTTCATTTAATAAGAAAAAATAAGCATGAAGTTATATTTTCTTCTAACTATTATTAAAAATAGGTTAATCTTTTTTGTTATAATTTTTATGTAATAAAATTCTGGTGAAATATTTATCCGATAGAATTCAATCGTAGTATTGTATTAGATTATTTATATTCATATAAGTTAAATAAAGTGAAGAGATGAAGTGGAAGATGAAGAAAATCAGTTGTTTTATTTAGAAAAAACACAAATATATCTAGGTGGTATGAATAAAGATTGACAATGGATCGAGGTCCACAAAGGTCAGACAGAAACATAAGTACCTGATGTACGCAAGAGACGCAAGATATGTACGAGAGAGAGAGGAAAAGAGATATATGTGAAAGAAAGATATAACTATGTAACAATATAAAATTATGATTGTGATTTTATCTAAAAAATATTTAATCCTATTCTTATAAAATGTTATACAATATATAGAAAAAAACGAAATTAGCTACAGAATTTTTTATATTCCATGACTTGAAATTAATAATCTCTTTCAATTTGATCTTTTTATTGTTTCAAAAGTTATCTGATGTGTGACGTTTGTGATTTACTTTAAAAAGAAAAAGAAATAGTTTTACGATTTGTTTGGTGAAAGATATATTCTGTTTTTTAATAAAATATGTATGTCTACTTATTAGATTTTACAATAAATTATATATATACAGCAACAGAAGCATTTTCTGAATATTTCGTGTAACTGATTTATATTTGAAGGTGTGGTTGTATGTGGATTCCTTCTATACCTACACGCTCTCCACATCCACTCCTAGTTTGTTAATAACAAACATATGATGTTTGGAATGGTTATTTTTTAATTATAACAAGAATAAAAACATCTATCCTCATTATCCTAATCTGCATTGAACCATATGTTCTTTTAAACTCCACTCACTCTTTTTACGTGAAAAGATCACTATATTATGTAAGATCTAAAAAATAAGTGACCCGAAGATGATACTGGTATTCTATCAAGATCATCCGTTGTAAACTTAAATTAAGACGAAATATTTCAATTTCTGATTTATTCAATAATTAGTGTTTACATTTTTTAATCAATAGTTAAGCCTCCTTCGAGTCGTAAAACAAGAAACACAGTATTTCCGTCTTCAAGTGTGTAAGATTCCATCGTCTTATCGTCAATGAGTTGTTTGCCTGCCCACATGAGTCGTTGTTCAGACACAGGTATCCCATTTTGCTCACAAATTTTCTCTTTCAATTTGCTAATCAAATCCTTTGCTTCAACCTACAACACTTATAAATAAAAAAAGTAATATTTAAAGATTTCTAATGTTACCGTTATAGTCATTGTTCTATCATTCAAATCTTTTACAAAAATTTGCATCACTTTGTCTGTCCTTGATTTTTTTTCAACGAAACCTTGATAAGAATTATTTGTCTTTAAATGAAAAAAACAGTAATTAATTGAAAATAATACTCTTCCTTGGTAGATTTTATTTCTTATCGCGATGTTTCGACAACGATGTTGTTTTTATCAGGCAGTGAACAACATGATAGAATGACTAGCATGCATGTAAATACTCAGCATATCCTCTCTCTCTCATGTTTTTCTTCCTTTGTTCTTTCTTTTCATTTTTAGATAGTGGGACCGCAGGAGAAAAAAATTAGTTACTTCTACCAATATCATCGTCTTGCCGTCCCACTATAAAAAAAAGAGCAGAAAAAAAAACATAAGAGAGAGAGAATACGTTGAGTATGTATAAGCGTGCTAGCCATTCTATCATGTTGTTCACTGTCTGATAAAAACAACATCGTTGTCGAAACGTCACGATAAGAAATAAAACCCACAAAGGCAGAATATTATTTTCAATCAATTAAAACAACAGTAAATACGTGAGTGGTTGTTTCTTAACATAATAATACGGTGATATAAATCAATAAAACTAAGGCTACGTTGTTGTTTTTAACATTTCTTAAGAAAATGACATTATTGTGCGAGAACCATTCTATAATTATCACATACGTATACACTTGTATTCCTAACCATTTTCACCTGAAAGCATGACTGTATTGGTATGGCTAGCAAACGAACATGTTCTTCACAATCATCGCTTCATTCACTCTAACTAGTTGTTCCATATACATGTTCTCACTTAAAATAAATAGCGATATACATCTTATAGGTAACATTCACACAATACATTGATATATATGCTTTATCATTAGTTTGAGACCATCTCCACGAGTCTACTTGATACTGATGCATATTTAGTAGCAACTAATTTGAACAAAATAGAATGAATTTTAGTCAACAAATCGTTCGTTTTCTATTTTCAGAGATAATGGCAAAAGGATTTATAGCATCGGCAGTTGGTTTAAATGCTGATCTTCAAGAACACTTAACATGTGTTATTCATCGTGGTCTTCTTGATCATCCAATGATGTTACCCTGCAAGGGTAAACATCGTCTTTGTCAGGAATGTACTAGAGAACTAATAGGATCATCACGGAACATTGCTTGCCCAGAATGCCGAGAATCATATATCGTTCCACAGGATTGGGCCACTGTTTGGTTCGACCGTGTACTTCACCATATTACTTCAAAACTAAGCAGTAATGAGACGGAAATTAATCAAAAAGTGATCAAATTCGTTCAGGAATCATATTTTCGTCATGGTTCCTCAAACCAAAGGCTTCACATTAAGTCTGTTCAAATGGTATCGAACCTTCGGCTAAAAGCTAATTTTGATAAATGCAAACAAACGATTAAATCACATGAAATCACCACTCTGTTACATGGTACCACGCGTAGGTCTGCACTTTTCATCAGTGGTCAAGGTTTTCGTATTCCTGAGAGTTTTGAGAGAAATGATGAAAATGGAAAGGAAGGAGAACTAAAATTTGGAAAAGCCATTTATTTCGCAAATGCTAAAAAGGCGACAGAATATGGTAAAAATATCCTCGTTCTTGCCGATTGTATCCTTGGTCGTATTGAAGAAAAACATGTGTCTGAACTTAAACTTACTCCTTCTATCATTCACCAACGTGGTTATGACACGATTCATTATAACGATTATGAAAAGGGTATTGATAACCAAGAATGGGCCGTTTATAGAGCAGATCAATGCTATCCTCTTTGTATTATCGAGTATGAATTCCTTGACATCAACAACTCGTCGGAAGATGTATTACTCAACTCCATAAAAAAAATGAGTCCCATGTTTCCTAACTCGAATGTCATCCGTCAAGCACTAACTGGTACCGAAAATCAATGCAAAGAAGCATTGAGATTTATCGGCGATGCTGCTAAAAACAACTCGCTATCAGTAAGCACCGTTACATCATGGTTACGGACCAGTTTATCTAAGGATCAGGTTGGAACATTATTAAAACATCCGAATGAAACTGTTCGCATTCTTTTTCTTCGTGCACTCTGGCAAATAGGACAACGAGACCGTAGCCCGGAGCTGTACGTTCACCTAATTTTCCATTGGAAATTGTTGATAGAATCGTTGCAATCAGGTTATACCGATGTCTCATGGCGTGCTTGCGGTGTATTAACTAATATGGCAGCAGTTATTACTCATGTTCGAAAGGCACTTATTTCTTCTGAAGTGTTAAATCAACTGATGCTGCTCCTCAAACGAGCTGTGCAATTTGAAGACAAAACATGTGTTTTAACTGTTCTCCATCTGATGGCTAACATCGCGGCATCCGAACATGAAATTATGAAACAACAAAAGAATATTCTTGATTATGTGAACCAAAACTTACTTGATCATAATGATATTGAAATTCAAGAAGCAGGAAATCGCCTGTTCTGCAACATCATCGGAAAAGGCATTCTTAGTGCTGACTGGAAGCGAGGAGGCTACAAAGATGTAGCTGTAGCACCAACTATCGACTAACTATGAACTGAATCGAATTAAAAGTATGGATCAGTGTCATTGCTTGATGCTCACTTATACCATACATTTTTCTTTTTTTTTATATCAAAATAAATGAAGAAAAATGACAAAACTCTTTTATTGATATCGAAAACACTCATTTATTGTATCGACTAGATTTTTAGAGTGTGTATAGTTGTGGAGAACACAGAATATCCTTACTCAAACTCGATAATAATGTCTGTATAATCAATCCAATATTTTTTAATTTCTATTTCATAAGAATATACTAGTGCATATTTACAGTACTATTGAACAAAATTATGATATAATTATTTTATCAGATGAGGAAATAATTTTCTCAATTAACTTATATTCATTATGTTTTCATAGATATGATCAATTAATTAGTCTATACCTGATAAGCATACATTTATTAATAATTATAACTAGATAGTTTATCTTCTTTTCATTATTAAAGCATAACTATTATAACCACTATACTGTCAATAAGTGTTCTCTACCAAAGTTACTGTTTTTTTTCTCGTTCTGCTTTATTCTATTGGCATATATATGATGCAATCCAATTATTCGTATCTTCATTCATTCCATCCATCTTTGTATGATGATGAAATATTCTTTTGAATACTTATAATTTGATATTTATTAAATGTTGTCAGATTTAATAACATCACTTTCAGCAAATCCATATTTTGGTGCTGGTGCTGGTTTAATTGGTATAGGTACAGCTTTAGCTGTTTTTCGTCGTACATCTCAATATGGTTTAATATTTTTTCGTCGTCAATTTATGATAACTCTTGAAGTACCAAATAATGATATAAGTTATAGTTGGTTATTACAATGGATATCACATCAATTACGTGATTCAAGTCGTCATTTAAGTGCTCGTACAACATTAATAAAAAATGATGATCCATCATCACGTATTCAAGCATCGTATACATTTGTACCATCTGTTGGTACACATTATTTTCGTTATCAAGGAAAATTTATTAA